AAATCAGACATTCTATTCAAATGTCAAACGAGAAGCCAATTTCCTATTATTCTGACTGGAAGAAGTTATATTCAATTCAAATCTTCAGTCTCCTAAAATGTCAAGGAAACACCTTTATAAAAGTGACAGTCATGTCCTGGCCAGTTTGCTCAATGGTTAGAGTGTCCGCCCATGGACTAAAAGGTTGTGGGTTCGGTTCCAGTCAAGGGCACGTGCCTGGGTTGCAGGTCATGCGGGAGGCAACCAATTGCTGTGTCTCACACCAATGTTTCTCTCTCTCTCTCTCCCTCCCTCCTTTATACTCTATCTAAAAAAAAAAAAAAAAAAAAATCAGTGGGAAAATATCCTCGGGTGAGGATTAACAACAACAAAAGTGCCAGCCATTACTATGAGATGTAAAGGGTGAGCAATTTCCTGCCATTGTATGTAACAGTTGCAGCATCTTGTACTTACCCAGGGAGCACGGATTAAGGAAGTTAGACATACCGCCCTCACCTATCAAGAACAGTCTTCAGAAACCGGGGCAGGGCCAGGCCGCCGTGAGAGGGACGTGGGGAAACATCGTCAAGAACACTGATTCCACAGCAGACATTCTTCGCTAATTCATGTGTTTGCCTAAAAAAATATCTCCTCTTTCCCAATTCTGAGAAAGATGTAATGAGAGATAAGGGTCTCTGTCCTTATCCGAAAGGGATGGGCCTGGACCTCTCTGTCCACCCTAAAGCGGACAGGGATGGAAAGGCCCGGTGGCCCAGACGCCGTGTGTCCGGCAGGACGGGGCGAGAAAGGCCCGGTGGCCCAGACGCCGTGTGTCCGGCAGGACGGGGCTGGAAAGGCCCGGTGGCCCAGACGTCGTGTGTCCGGCAGGATGGGGCGAGAAAGGCCCGGTGGCCCAGACGCCGTGTGTCCGGCAGGACGGGGCGAGAAAGGCCCGGTGGCCCAGACGTCGTGTGTCCGGCCGAACGGGGCTGGAAAGGCCCGGTGGCCCAGACGTCGTGTGTCCGGCCGAACGGGGCTGGAAAGGCCCGGTGGCCCAGACGTCGTGTGTCCGGCAGGACGGGGCGAGAAAGGCCCGGTGGCCCAGACGTCTTGTGTCCGGCAGGACGGGGCGAGAAAGGCCCGGTGGCCCAGACGTCTTGTGTCCGGCAGGACGGGGCGAGAAAGGGCCGGTGGCCCAGACGTCGTGTGTCTGGCCGGGCACCGCTCAGCCCTTCTGCTCCTCTCGTGCCCCCCTTTGAGCGAGGCTCCCAGGTCTCTCTTCAGTCGTCTTGCTTTGGAAACTGCAACTTTGTCAGGGTCTTTGGCCCACACCAGGTCCCCGTACTCTGGCCACTGTCCTGCACCGTGCTGTGCTCTTCCTGACTTGGCAGGACGCACTCAGATCGCAGGTCCTGTTCCTGACTTACGGCTAGGCTTACTTTCACCCTGGTCTGGAACACGGCCTTGTCTGATGGCCACACTTTCTGGAACGCCAGAGTCTCCCTGGTAGCACAAAGGAAGACACCCTGTCTTCCAGGCCACCTGTACCCTTGCTAGCTTTCTGTCACCAGGCCACCTGGGTTCTTAGTGTTCTGTCTGGCTCAATCCTCCGTCCTATAGAGTGTTCACGTAATATAAAAATGTGTCAGTTTGTCACTCTTGGTCTGGCCCAAGTACTGCACCCCTACACCTGCCGCTTCAGACTGGGGGTAAAAGGAAAGGCAGCGGGTTTGGTTATTAATGGACTATTTTCACATTGACGGTGACACTGACATTCATTCCCAGGGATGCTAAACACCTCACGCAAACGAGTCCTGCCCAAGAGGCCTGATGTGATCTGTTGACAAGTAGTAGTAACAACTGAATCCCAGGTAGAAAAAAGTTATAAAAACATGAATGTTGGACCCAAGAGCTGTCTCTTACCAGCTCCACTCATTTCTTCAAGTCACTGAGCTTCACCAGCCTCCGCTTCCTCATCAGGGAATTGGGCTAAATAATACTTTAAGTTATTTTACATTTTATCATATTCATAACATATATTTTATCTTCTATCCTATACACCTACATATATGGGGGAAAAACTTGTTTTTCTGTGATGTTTTAAGACGTTCGTTAAATACTGCCAACTAGTTCCTTAACCTAAATACTAAGGCAGCATGCTTTTCCCCGGAGTCCAGCGAAGACCCCGCAGGCTAGACGACAGTAAAAGAATCAGGAGTTACAGGAGATATTACAGTTTCTTCCAAAGTTCTCAGGAAACAATGCAAGAACTGTCATACCTACCAGTAAATGTCAATTTCTTTTTCACATTATCTTTTCATTGTTTATGTCTAGTGTTAGTAATATGCATAACACCTACAGTGTTTTGTATCATATAAGAAAATACTGATGTAGGTACCAACAGAGGCAGGATTCATCTTGTAAACAGAAGATGTAAACTTAGTCTCAGTAAATACAGTACAGGACTGTAAATGTATTTTCTCTTATGATTTTCTTTCCTCTTGCTTTCTTTATTGTAAGAATACAGTATATAATGCATATTGCATACAAAACAGGTGTTAAAGGTTTCTGGTCACAGTTGGCTATTAGTAGTCAAGTTTTGGGGGAGTAAGAAGTGACAGGTGGATTTTTGACTATGCACAGCATCAGTGCCCATAACCCCCGCACTATTCAAGGGTCACCTGTACCACAGACAGCAAGATCTGGAGTAATCAAGTATTCTGTTTAAAAGCTGACAAATCAAATGCTTTATATTTTAGTGTCCTCAGAAATGAAGCAGGCAAACCAATTTAAAATTTGGGATAGTCATATAAACCTGGATTTTTTTTTTTTCTGTGAGTCAAAGACATATCTATTGGGGAGAAAAAAGTTGTATGAAAAATGTTAGCTACGAAATCTACTTTATAATTTAATGGTTTTCAACAAATCTTTAGCATTTTTGATTTTTTTTTTTTTTTTACTTTCTTCATTAGAGCCCCCATTTCAGCTTCACTGAAACCCAGACCAGGTGAGAAAGAAAAACTAAGAGTGCATCTGAGAGTGAAGATAACCTTTAATTTGTACCAGAGCAGCTTAAAGACTGCGTCAATTGGAGATAATGGCTTATCCGAAGTGAGTGTAATGCCGCATTAACTTGTCGTCATTATCATCATTATTAAAACTGTAGAAAAACATTCCCTGTGACCTACCCAGAGCACCTGAGTCTATCAAAGACATCGCCGATGCCTTTCAGGGAGCTCGGGGAAGCTCAGAAGCAGTTAGCTCTCCTCCACACAGAAGACTGGACCACACCACAGCATCTCACGACGGTGCAAGAGCGACACGATGATGCAGCTACACTTACTTTCCAAACTAAACCTTAGCAAATGTAAATTAACCTTTGAGGTTAAAAAAAAAAAAAAGAAAGCAGAAAATGTAAGAGAAACTCATCAAAAGGTATTAAATCAAAATGTGCTTTTATCCCTGATGCCACTCTGCTGCATTTGACATTAAAAAGCTGGTTTCCCCTGATTCCCTGTCACTTCCTCATCTGGGACAGGAGGGATGCGTCCCCACGACCAGTGTGGGCAGCCGGCAGCACTTGGAGAGGAGGAGAAAGTCACACCTGGCCGGCTCCTCCGCTGCTTTCTGAGTCTGCTGGTCGCTGCCCCGCCCGCGGTTTGTGCCCTCCCGAAATATGAGCGACGTCTGTGAATTTGTAAAACTGCGTTGTCAGCAAGGCTGAGGGCTCCCGTCCCGGTGAGGGGGAGGCGTGGAGTTAATGAGAAGGGAGGCTGTGGGGAATGCACAGGAACACGCCGTGTTCAAGTAATCGAGCATGAATATCAAACACTGACTGGGGAACGGTCTGCGTTTGCTGATGGCAGGGCTGGTCGGCGGTGGGCAGATGGGATGTGCCCGGGGCGGCATCCACTGGCCGCCCGGGTTTGCATCAGGCAGCCTGTACTTTATAAACCTGGCATCTTGGTCTCTCCACCCCGAATCAGGTTTTCCTTTTTCTTTTCTTTCCCTCCCTCCCTTCCTGTAAAAGGTTTCCTTTTTCTTCTTTTTGATTTCATCTCATCCATCCCAAGCCTTATAAAGAATTTAAAGTTTTAATATTTCAGTAACTGCTGTTCTTTTTTAAAATATGTGTAATTTCCAAATGCCAGTTCAGAATAACACAGATGATGGTATTGTGGCTGGAATTGCTGACACTATAATTTTTACTTTTAAAACTCAGCATTGTCTCCTAAAGCCAGTGAAAGCTTGAATAATTGATCCTATAATACTCCTGCGCGTCTTCCATCATTCTCAATGAGATCATTGCATGTTCTTTTTTTATTGGCAAGGATCCTGGGAAGACTTTCACAAGAGCAGTAACAATGTAAACACCTTAAGCTGTATGTTCTTGTTAATTGCAAGTTGTAATGAATACTTTTATTCAGAACAGGGTAATGATAGTTTCGAAAAACTAAATAATCGTTTCTAGAAACTAAATAATTTATAAACTGAATAAAATAAATAGGTTTATTCAGAACAGGGTAATAATAGTTTCAAAAACTAAATATTAAAGAAAAAAATGGTCCCATAATTATTCATTTTTATAAAATTTCATTTACAAAGATGTTTTTATTAGTTTACAATGCAAAAAAAATGACACAAATGTAAATCAATTAGGAACTGGTGAAGTGAAATATAGCACACTCATTAAATAAATTAAAAGTGACTTATGAAAAATATGTAACGAATATAAATAATAGTGTATTATTAAATTATCCCATAAACTATAAACCTATTTACAATATATGTGCTTCAAGTACTAATCATTAATGCTTTTCTGATGGTGACTGAATTTCTAAGACCATATTTTTACTTGTCATTTTCTAAATGTCTATTTGAATGTGTATTACAATTGCTATAACATTTAAAAAAAATAACCATTTAGTTTCCCCATCTCTACATATACACCAAGAACACAAGAAAGAACACAGGAAAAGCAATCATGAGAACTGTTTTAAATATAAAGTGTTATGGCTTACCTTAGCAGCATAGTAGTCTCTAACTTCAGGTCTAATAGAGTCAAAGTCTCCATTGATGAATTCAGGCAAGAAGCTGAAACAAGAGTTCTCCGTGAGCCAACCAGTGAAGACTGCTTACTTGTTCACTTTAAGACTGGGGTTATCAGGACCAGAGAGAACTACTGTACTCAGAAGAAAAAGGAAACAATCTAATTTTACAGAGAATGGGATGCCACACTCACATTCTGGTGACAATGTGGTGTGACGGGGGGACCGAACACAACCAACTCATGCACCAACTCAGTCACACTGCCAGTCTTCATCAAGCTTCAGAAACACCCAAGATAAAAGAAGATCATTGTTTCTCAAAACACCAGGTCAACAACCCTAAAACAGACTCACTTTTGTATATGACCTTCTGCATATATCCCAACCTTCAGTAGCATGCTCTCGCGGAAGTTCAGACGCTCAACACATTTGAACGGAACAAATGATGGGGGGGGGGGATTCTTTTCAGAGCAGGAGTCGGTTCAAAGACTCTTCTCAAATACCCTCTTGGTGTATTTCTAGAAACAGGATCTTCTCGATAGTGTGAAATACTACAAACGTCACAGTTACTAAATACAGAGAGAGGCTTCCCAAAAGTGGATGTTTCTAATTCTATCACACTGATCTTATTTCTCTCCTCCACCATTTATATTTTCTCAGAACTCATTTCAGAGATGTTGCCTTCCTCTGTCTATATAAGCCACTCTATGTTTTTTACATAACACACCACACAACCTGGTAGAACTCTTTCCCACCTAAAACACCTAATTATGAAAACACAAAACGTTCCTAGAGTTCTCAGGCTCCTGCAAACAGCTCTAGCCTCCAGGGCCCCTAGAGGTAGACGAGGAAAAGAAGGGACTGTTTGCATTCATGTCTTCCAGAAATTTCTACTGTGCACCTGCCGCGACATGAGATCTGCAGCCATTTATCTAGTTAATTGTTTGAATTCGAAAGAATAATGAAACTTCTGTCTGTCTTCTCAAGAGGTCCAAGTTGTCACACAATGGTCCAGGTTTCTTGTTAAAGGGAGATGGGGACGTTATCTCCCTGGGTGTTACATTAGAAACAGATAAAGCCCCAAACTTGGAGACATCTCTAGCTCATAAAAGCCAACCTACAGGAGACTATCTGGGTCTGAGAAAAACTTTTACTGATGCGGAATATGAAAAACATGAAAAACCCAATACAAACATTGTTTTGTTTTGTTTTTTTGCATGTTTTCAAGTTCTTAACTCAATTGGAAATACTACTTCTTAGGTCTAACCCAGCGATTTTCAACTGGTGAGCTGCAAGAATGTTTAAAACAGGCAACACCTGACTATTTAGTCCGGGGCACTGACCCCTTTTCCCGTAGATTGTCAGATAAAATTAAAAAATGACAACAGCCAACACCTGTCTCATGTGAATGACTCAAAATCCTAGCTGTTTTTCGGTCAGACCGGCAGAAACAGCGTACTCTGGTGTTCCGCAGAGCTTTATGGTGAGCGTGTGCGCCGTGCCGTGGGAAAGGTCGGAGTCGCTGCTCTGACCTGGTCCAAGCCACCTGGGCGGGACCCGCTCTTCCTGGGCTGCGTCTTCCTGGGACAGACGGGAGAGGAGGCTCCGCTCCGGCTGTGCAGCACCGGCTGCTCAGTCTGTATTTTCTGTTAGCCAACAGGGACTACTTGTTTCAATTTGGGGTCATTAAGAAAAGTTTTATATTAATTGATTCCAGAAATATTTGCTAAACATCGACCCCACGCCAGGACAAAGGTTTACTCCAGAATGAGGCGGGATGGGGGAGCAAAGCACCTAGGTTTCTAAATGGCTTTGCTGGTTTCAGCATTTCCCATGCACGTCTCTCCTCAAAATGCCCTTGCCATCCATCTCTTACTTTCAATTTCATCGCATACTTACTAAGGTGAAACCTTACATCCTACCCCATTAGGACTGAAAACAGACTATGAGTTCTTTTCTTCTCCTGTCGCAAACATTTACTGCTCTTTTCTGGTTTCTATAAAATGCCTCCACCTACCAATATTCAACCAGAACCAGATGACACCTCGTATGGGTCACAGGATAGCGTGCTCCCTGTGGTCTGCAGGTCTGTGCCCTCCCCCCATTCCTACGCCGAAACCCTAACCCTACTGTGATGTTACTCCAGGTACAGCATTCGGGAGGTGGTCAGGGCAGGCGGGTACAACCCTCACGAACGGGATTAGTGCCCTGACGAAACAGCTGAGGACACGGGAGGACCGCGGTCCGTGCCCCGGGAGGCGGGCCCTCACCTGACACAGGATGCATTGGCTCCTTGACCTCGACATCCCAACTTCCAGAACGGTGAGAAGTGAGTGCTGCTGTTCATAAGCCTCTCAGTCGACGGTACTCTCTACAGCAGCCCACAAGGACTGAGGCAGTGCTGGAGGGTCTGAACGCGTCACCCTCCAACATCCTCGTCGTCCTTCGTGAGGAGCTGAGGTCCAAGAAGCCAAGTGCGATTTGTCTGCCTGGCCAGTACCCGACCTCCTTCCACGGCGAGGCGGACATTTAAACCCAGGACTCGGGTTTGTGCGGCTGAACCCCACACCTCCTGTAAGACTGACTCTATGGCTCTGCAAACTGCGGTCCCTCCGATGTCCAGAATCCATTTGGCGGTTCCCAAATACGATACTGATTTTGACAATAAAAATGAAAAATAAAAACTCACCCACACAGGCAGCTAAATGTCCTCTTACAATATATCACTTTAAAGAGAGTGAGATCTCTCTTTAACTTACACTGTGAATAATGCAGAAAAGCGATCATGTAAATTCACTTGTGTTTTCATATGAAACATTAACAGGAAAAAGACTGTAGATGAAAGACAACTAACTTCGGCTAACTTGTATCATACTTTTCTCTACTACGACATTTACGCATTAGAAATGAGCCAGGACGCTGATTTCTAAGGAGACTCATGTGCAAAATACGCCTGGTACACAGACGATAACTTTCATCAAACACTGCCCTGGTTTGGAAACTTCCTGAAATGTACTTTCGGACCCGCCCTTAGAAGCCCATCTCTCACTTCCTGAGGCACCTGTTGCCATGGTACCAGGCATCCTGAGGAGGTACCTAGGTATCAAGGATGACACTGCACAGACATAGAAGAACTATGTTATGACATAAAAGACAGTTAACACGGGAAGATCACTTTTCAGAACTTGGTGGGGACTGACTACGCATAGCAGCTAAGGGCATGTGGATTTGTGTCACCGCTGACAGCATTTCTGTCCCCTGCTGGCGTAGATCAGACCAGCACCCCCTTCCTGGCACCCTCCGTGCACTGGCACGGGCTCATTACCACCGAAGGCAGTTCCAAATGCTCCGTAAACAGTATAGGCTCCCTGATATTTACATCGGGTCTTACAGCACTTGCCACGCACACTAGACGAAATACGAGTTCAAAAAGGGCTGACATTAGTGAATGAGATGTAAGCACTGTTACCTGCAGGGATCAAGAGGGAGGCTGATGCATTTAGAGAGCATGCCTGAACAGGATGTGCTAGAACTCAACTGCTCTTTCCTAAGTCATTTCCTGATAGCGGTGAGGAGGCAGAGCCCTCCGCAGGGCCTTCCTTGCTCCCACAGAAAAAAACATCGATCCCTTAGAACGTCTATAGCACTAAATCTAGAACTTTCCATGACATGCTAGGCAATTCTGCAAATGTCTTTTAGCTCCTACTGCACTGTAGGTTCTTCGGAAAGGACCTCGGACTGATGTTGGTGTTTCCAGAGCACCCAGCACACAGAGGCTGACAATGAAACAGCTGAGCGGGGAAGAGGAGGAGGAGGCTGGGGAGGGATGAAGGGTGAAGGAAAGAGAAGAGAGCAGGAGAGAGGGAAGAGGGCGGGGGAGCATGGGAAGGAAGGGAGGAAGGAGGAAGAGGGAAGGAGAGAGGAGGAGGTGGAGATGGTGAAAGGAAGGGAAAGGCCAGGAGAGAGGAGGAAGGGGAGGAGGAGAGTGGAAAAGAAGAATGAGCAAAGAAACCTTTATTAAGAAATTACTACGAGGCCTGTCTCCCTACTCCCTGGCTTGTCCGAATCATTTCACCTTTCTCAGCCTCGTTCCTTCGTGTGTAAAAGGACAATCTGGAGAGGGTGTGAGGGTTAAGAGCTGGTGTATGTGAGCACTTCAGGAATGCCTGGCACACAGAGAACATGATCTAAGCTGCCGGTTAGAAGAGCAGTTGTTACTACACTAAGAATCTTACCCGAGTCTACAGGGTAACAAGAGTTAGAACCGAAATCCAAACACAGGCAGCCCAGTCTTTGTTCTTTAACAGCCTCTCACAGATACGAATGCATGAAACGCAATGAGTTTCTCATGGAGAAAGTTCTCCACAGAAATGCATGATCCCCCTGCTAATCCGTGCTAATCTGGTCAAACTGTATATTTTAGAAAGGTATCACTGAGGCAGAAAAAAAGAAACGTTTGTGCTAGTTGCTGAGGAAGGATAGGATTTTGATGAAAGAAATTTTGATTAAAGAACTATGTTAGGTGGACATACAGAACACTGTTAAAAGGCTATAACTAGAAATACAAGAAAGTAATGGCACACGGTCTAAAGAAGGTAGGAATTAATCACTCAAGTGTTTGGGCTAACATTCTGTGTAAAACTGCCTTACGTAATTAAGGGATAAAAACAGCAAAAGAAAAATGTAATAAGTAAAAAAGGCACTACCACATTTTGACTGTGTTTATAGATAATGAGTTCAACTGTTTTCATAAGTCTCTAAACATAATAAAGGTGTCAAAAGATACTTAAATACCTGTATAAGCATGAAAGAAAGAGTGAAAGTGAATGAATAAAAGCTGTTTATAGCCCTGGCCGGTTTGGCTCAGCGGTTAGAGCGTCGGCCTGCGGTCCGGAGAGACCTGGGTTCGGTTCCCGCTAAGGGCACGTACCTCGGGTGCAGATTGTCCCCGGCCCTGGTTGGGTCATGTGGGTGGGAGCCACTCAATGTCTCTTTCACGTCGATGTTTCTCTCTCTCCCTCCCACTCTATCTGAACAAAAAATGGA